TCTCGGGGCTTATCATTATCCAAGCTTAGTTTGGATTTTTCTAAGTCTCTTGAAGCTATCCTCCTCAGCCATTCAAGCCCCTAAGTCGAGGCTAGTCTCCTAGGCCATTTGCGAGCCCGAGCAAAGGCCATTAGCACCATTCGCGAGCTCGAGCAAGGTTAGCTCGTGACTTTCATTTTTCCTAGCTTATTCATGATAAAATAAGATTTATCATGTACAAAAATGATGCCATGCACGAGAAGAATATGGAGATTTGGATTTTTGAAGATTTAAGCCCTAATTTCGTAAGTTATGGTACATGCATGATATGGCCGAGATTAGTATCTTAAAAATCCTCAAAAATCATGAATATGACATGGTTAAAACAGTTTTATGCTTTGAGTTCATTTGTTTGGTCAATTTGTTAAGTGAAATCGAGCCATTTTCACCCCCGAACCTAAGTATATGTGCATGAATGTATTGACCAATGTTATAGCCTCATTAGCCATGATTTTTGATGTATATCATTCGGCCCTAGGTCAATTTTCATGTTGAGCATGTTCATTTTTGTGCCCTAGGGTGGCCTCGTGCCTAATCGGCCCTATAAGCCCACCACCAAATCCAACCGAGGTCCCTCAGTGACTTTTGGCATTTTTGAGCATTTTATGTCATATTAGGTTGATTTGGTTCAGTAGTCCCCGGCAAAGTTGCCGGAAGTTTGGCAAAGGACCGGCTAGGGTCACCAGCCGCGCCAGTCGCGCGTGCCGTGCCCGTGCCGCGTCGCAGGGGCCAGGCAGTGCCCCTGTCCGTGCCCGCGCCTAGCGCTCGCGAGGCACCGCAGTCCCCAGTGCACGTGACAGCGCCCAGCCGCGCCTGTCCGTGCCAGCCCGCGAGGTCTCAGCGCCAGTCGCGCCAGAGCACCTCCGACAGCGCCCGGCAGCGCTGTCCCAGTGTCATGCACGCGTGATCCCGAGCCAGTCGCTCGTACCACGCGGAGTCGACCTCGGGTCGTGCCAGCAGCGCACCCGAGTGTCCAGTGCCGTGCTGTAGTGACCCCGAGTCAGGTCCAGAGGCCTCGGGACGTGCCCAGCAGCACGCCCGAGTAGTCAGTTAGCCCGGGACGTGCCCAGCAGCATGCCCGCGTGCCCAGGGTCGCCCGGTAGCACCCTGACAGCCCTAGCCGCGCCCGAGCCGCGCGAGTAGTGTCTGGCCACGTCCGTTCTCGCGCCAGTCGCACTCGGGTCGTGCCAGCCGCACGCCCAGTGCCCAGTCAACCCGGGTACGCGCCAGTTCCCGCGTCCCTCGTGCTCGACCGTGCCCAGCAGCACGCCAGCACACCCAGTGACTCTCGGTCGTGCCCAGCCGCACCTAGTGGCACCAGTCGTGCCAGGGCCCGTGCCAGCCGCACAGCCCGCGCCCAGCAGCGCCTAGTACCGTGCCCGGTCGCACCCAGCTAGTGCCCAGCGCCGTGCCATGGCCCCAGCAGGCCCGGCACGGGATCGAGCCCGGCCAGTCCGAGCAGCCCGTGACCAACCGGTCCAGTGTGACCCGGTGGTCCAACCGGGTCCGGTCCAGCCAGTTAGCGAACCGGCCGGTTTAGCCGGCGGTTCGAGTCCGTTTTGGTTCGTGATTTTCGGTCCGAGTCTTATTCCGAAATTTAAGTATTTTTTCTGAGCCAAACCAGATCAGTTAAGCATATCAGTATAATTTCCGAGCTTAGAATTATTTTTGTGAACCCTTAGAGCGTTCCTTTATATCCGGATGAGTAATCTGATAGAGTAGAGCATCCCAGCATATTATTGAGCATATGACGAGCATAGTACTTAGTATATTTGTTTGCTTATATTTTTATTGTAGCTTGAGGAGTCAGCTACCAGCACAGCCGCACTTACTTATTTTCAAAACCGATCAGGTGGGGACCCAGTCTGGGTTATACATTAAGTTTAATAGTCGATATCACGTTCAGGTATGTATATGAGTTTTATCCACTTTGGGTTTAGGCCAAGTTTGCCTTCCCTAAGATCTGGTGGTGGCCCAGTTCGCCCTAGTTATACCATCAGAGTGTGCACACGGTTACCGGCCAGAGTGTTCCGGGAGTTACAGTTTACTGATATATACCAGTTCGTGATATCATTATTAATATTGTTGTTTACTTTAGAATGGGTTTTTATGGAGTACAAGTGGACCGTACTCACCCCCACTTTATATTTTCAGATGGCAGGGTCGGCGGGCAGGCGTGAGTCGAGTTGTGGTGGTGGTGGTCGTGAGTTCCGCACGAAAGCTGTTCCCGGGACATTTGTTTAAACTGTTTGTAAACTAAATAATTCCACGCATTTCAGACTTCCGCTATGCTTGTGTTTATCTTCGAACATGCATGACTTTATTATCAGACTTAAATAATTTTACCCGGTTCGCCAGTACGAACGGGTCCAGACTAACATGCATGATTCGTAAAAATATAAACCTGATTTCCTTAAATCTAAACCAGACGTGAGACCTAGGTTAAAGAAATGGGTTTTTGAGCAGAAAAGTCCTTAGTAGCATCTCGAGATAGTTTGCAAATGATTTCGAAAAATTTATAAGCGTTTTCGAAAGAGTTAAAATTTGCGAAAAATTGGCCCTAGTTAGCGGGGTGTTGCAGGTCCCACATATGTATTTAAATTAATGTGTAGGAATGTGGGTGTGTGTTTAAATGGAGAGAGATTTAGTGGAAAGATGATGTTGAAATGATGTGGAACAAATAAATAAATTAGTCTTTTTTTATGAAATAAATAAATTAGTCTTTTTTTTATGAAATAAATAAATTAGTCTCAAATTAAATTCCTTTGTATTTGAACAACACAGTGATTTCGATTAGGCACAAGATTATCCAGATAAATAAAGGCAAATATTTTTTGGCAAATTAAGATGCGTTCATTACAACCGAATAATACATATAAATAATTATGTATACATTAATATCTAAAAAGTATTTATATAACACAATACTTAAATAATGCTGCCGTTAAAAATAAAATCATGGAATGGTTCTAAAATGAAATAATGATGAAGATGGGATGATTTTTTAACAAATAAATCAAAGGATTTGTCTATTTATTTGAGAATGTAATTATATTAACTTTTATTTGGCTAGGGCGGTTAGCAAACCAAACCGAATCGATCTTAAGGTTTCGAACTCGAGCTCGACTAATTTTCGAACATGTTCATGTTTATATATTATATTACATATGTATATCCTATATATAATATATAAAATTACAAAATATTTTTATTTAATTTAATATGTAAATATATATTCATATTTATATAGTTATTATACTATACATGTATGTACTATATGTCACATATAGTTGTGTAACTGTTCGTGTTCGTTCAATAATTAAACGAACATTATTTCATGATTGACTTCGGTTCGTTTGCTCAACGAACGAGTTGTTATCGAACACAAACGAGGTTTGTTCACGAACAGCTCGGTTCGAATATCTACAAATCTCCGAAATCAAACTAAATCGACCTATTTGTTATCGAACACGAACAAGGTTTGTTATCGAACACGAACGAGCTCTGTTTAATTTTCATATCATTTTTTGTTTTTTTTTATTAAATTCCATCCCTTGTTTAAAAACTTGATATCATTTTCTGAAATATATAAATTCTAAAATTACCCATAAAATTAAAAAACTGTGAAGCACGACTGATACGACACTTGATGTTTTGTACTTATCTAATAGTAAATAATATCAATATTTTTATATGATATAAGTAAAAAAATTCAACATGGGTTGACATTTTCATTTAATGCGGGTGTTTAATTAATATGTTAAAAAAATATAATTTTACAATTGAATTAAAACTCAAAGTAATGTTTTATATAAAATTAAATTATTTTAGTTTTTAAAAAAATAAAGAATTTAATATTCATTAAAAAAGTTTTCTAATTCAACACCCGTGAAATACACGGGTATTGTACTAGTTTAATATTGATTGAAAAAAAGTACTTAGTCTGAGATTATTCATTCAATTAAATATCAATTTATAAAGAAGAGTCGGAGACATTTTGTATCGCACGTAGTTCAAATCGTAAAAGAAGACCGATTTTTAGAAACAACCAATTATATGTTGTTGTTTCGGGTATAAGTAATGCAAAGCTGTGACATATAATAATATTTATATATTATTATACATGTATATAATATACATGACATATAAAATTATTAAATATTTGAACTTTACTAATAGGCATACACGAATACGGTCGAAATTTGAACAATGCGAATCAGCTTCATTACCATATCCAACCAATAGTTCGCAAAAATAGCACGTTGTACTTTGGTCTAATGCTTTAGTACAGTAGTAACGCTATAAATTGTTAATTCGATATACAAACACAGTCGAAATTTGAACTTTACGAATCATGTTTTATTAAAATAGCATATAATGATTATAATCCATCCAATAGTTGAAAAATATAGCCGGATACACAGATACCATCAGAATTTGTACAATACGAATCACGTTTGAATAGTGGGTTTAGTACATTAGGGACGTTCATATTTGTTGGCTCCTACAGTCGTACACGGCTAACTGTCGGATTATATCAACGTCGTGACAAATTTAGAATCCTTATTTAATTTAAAAATATATTTATTAACCACTTTTAAAATAGTGATGTAATTTTAAATCCAATATTAAAGTTATTAACTTTATAATTTTGTAATTTTACAAATAACATTGTCAGGTTAAATTTGCAATTAATTACACGTACCCAAAATAAATAAAATTTACTACCGTACATGTCAAAAATTGTCAAAGTGTGAACATATACAGCGCACAATATTAATTCGGACGATGATAAAGGTAAAAGGAAAAAGAAAAAATGAAAAATGAATGAGCATTTGATTTGAAGAGACATCTATCACATTTATTCATCCGAAATCAAAGGAATTAATAAATATCTGCACCCCANTCTTTTTTTTTTCAGCCTTAGAATATATAATAATCCATAAGAAATAATAAAAAAAATGCAGATTTTGCCCCAGTCCACCGATACATATATTCGGCGAATGAAGTTTGTAGATCTCCGTGTGTACAACGACTGCTGGGATCAGTGGACTATAGGGCTCGGTGTGAGTTTGGGCAATGTCATAATCCAGAAAGGATGGCGTACCTTTCTTCATGATAATGAAATATTTGAAGGGGACACCCTTATTTTCAGACATATTACTCTTAACCTGTTTGAATTAAAATATTTAATAAACAAGGGGGCTTAAAATACCCTCCTCAATTGGGAGATCTGTCATCATATGATGGTCAAAACGATTTTATGACATAGATTATGGTTAATTTCTTTTTTTTTTTAGTGTGACGTAATTTAGTTTAAAAATACCCAATGAATGTAGTGTGTTCTGTTTATGTTTAGCTACGGATGCTGCATTATATTTTTATTGCTTGCATTTTACATTTAATAACTTACTTGAAAAAAAATATGATGTACAAATTACAGTTGTATATTATCAGAAAGGTAATGCAAGCAGTTTAAACTTGTTAAGAGCCATGAGTAATTAAACTTGTACAAGATGCACCATATGTGTTTCTACGTCATATGTTTCTTAACATGATGAATATGTTTCATTTAAAAATGAACATATCAAATTATAAGATTAAAGATGTCATGTTATAAAATGAGTAAGTTTTATTATCATCTGAATATGTTAAATTATGAGATGAACGTGTTTCTTAACACGATGAATAGTTCAGATTTTGTACAAGGTGAATATGTTTCTTAACATGATCAAGCTGAGTAATATTTTAATTATTAAGACTTAAAATGCTTGAACTTTGTCATTAAATAATTAATTAAAAAATATCATGATATTTTAAATATTATCACATTACTTGAGTCATTGATTTTCAAGATGGCCGCTAAATAAATAGTGATAATTAAAATTTTAATGTATTAAATATTTTTTTTAATCCATTTTTTACCATAAAATAAGCCCATGTATTTCAGGATAGCAAATATTTTCGGATTCCATTTTTATTTTATTAAATTCAATTTTGACACCTATTAAGGTGTGCCAGGCCATAGACGTGTAATAACATGGAGAAGGAGATTTACAAAATTTTGTCTCCAATGGTGAATGTCAATTTTAGTATACTTTGACATGTGTAATATTATAATTGCTTGGGAATGACATATATATTTAATAAATAATAAAAAATTTAATAGAGGATGTCTATAAGTAATTCTAGACATAGAAAGACTTCTAGACATTTTGAATGCCACATGGCAATAAAAAGGAGCAATCCATGGACCATTGGAGATGCTCTAGGTGGCAATGGAATAAAACAAAGCCTGTACCATTGTAGATGTTGTTTGTAGTAAAGTAAAGATTGATGTGAAACACACCTGTACAAACATGGATCACTGACATAAATTATGCTGACACTATCCTTAATATTATCAAAAATATTAAATATATATCAACCAATCATTCTTACACGACATCTATACATATATAAAGAGGAGCAACAAAGCATTAAATTATATTATCATGCATTAAATTTTATTCTCATGCATTAAATTTTATTCTCCCTCCAAAATTTTCAGCATTCAATTTCATTTTTATGTTACAAAATAACTTGCTTGAATGCCATAAATTATGAGCATAAACCAATCAAGGGAGTTACAAAATTGTACTCAAAGTCACACCCACTCATGAAAATGGCCGGGTGTATTAGCATAAAGAAAATGGTTGTAACGGCTCTTCCATAGCAATTACTTGATCAAAATCAATTTTAAGAATTATTTTCTTAATTCACATTTTTTTCATAAATTAAATTATGATTTTTTTTTTATATTGTTACCTTTTCAAAGTATTTTTCTCTGTGCAAATGCACATGTTGATTACTAGTTAATTTTAAATTCCAAAGAAACAAGTAACCATATTATATTATTCAAATTTAATACTGATTAAGAAAAATAATTGTAATATTTTAAGAAATAATCAAATTATTTTTAAATTCGAGCAAACAAATCAGCATTGGTTTTAAATAAAATCGAAATAATAATGTTCATAAGTTGACGATTTTTTTTTTAAACGATGACCGAGAAATAAATTATTACACCTCGAAACTAACGAAAAATTTTGACAATTAATGTCATGATCCATCAGGCATTTTTAAATGCAATAGATTTTCAAAAGATTTTCATACCACTTATTTTTATTTTTTTTTTGATAAATTCACTTTTCTTTACACACACCTAGATTAATATACATTAATACACGGTGCAAAGCAATAATTAAAATTTGGAAGATAAAGAGCCGGTTAACGGTAATTTATTTTTTTCCCATTTTGCAGATGGCGGACAGATCGTTCATCATCCGTGTTGAGTTCGACAAATTCCCAATAACGGTAATTTATTATTTTCCCATTTCGCAGCATGTTAACATATCAAATAGTACACCGACATATCTTTATTGCTGATTTTACCCCCTGCCATGGTTGCATACCTTAGGATGGTGGGGGTTGTACAACTTCGACTGCACAATGACAAGGGGAACACTTGGATTGTTGTCGCCGGTCTAAATGCCGGAAGCGCCATCTTCCAAGAGGGCTGGGGTAGATTCCTTCTTGGTAATGGAGTAAACGAGGGAGACACCATTTTGTTCAGTCATGTTGGTTTGCATATCTTCAATGTTTTTATTTTTGATGACAAAGGAAACATAAAATCCGCTCCTGCTAAAGGTGATCTACCTCTTATACAGGTAGAAAGGATTTTATGACTTAGTTTATGTTTTTTATTGTTATTTTTATTGTTCTATGTAATGGTTGTGTTTGCAGTAAATTTATTTTATGTTTTCTGAATTAATCAATTTCGAATTTGTGATTCTGTTGGCACGCACATTACACTTGATAAATTATACGGAAAAATATCTATATAAACAAACACTGATTAGAATAATTAAGAATAAATATGACAATTGTTAATGTTGTATGTACAAACTAATTGCAATATAAATATAATATTATGAAAGGTTGCCTTCACAACTAAAGTTGAAAATTTATATATAATTTTATTTGATCATATTATTTCGACTGGGATTTTTTTTTTAATTTTCCGAACTCTTCTCGTTCTCAATCTCTTCTCGCCTCGCTCTCTGTATTGAATTTCGGTTCGCGTGTAACATGCTTGTACGTAACATGTTTCTTAACATGATGAATATGTTTCTTTGTAAAATGAACATCTCAACTTATAAGATGCACATGTTATGTTATAAGATGAATATGTTGTATTATAAGCTAAATATGTTAAATTATAAGATGAACATGTTTCTTTCTCAGATGTACATGTTTATTACACGATGAATATGTTGAGTTTGTACCAGGTGAATAAGTAGATTTTGTACGTAATATGTTTCTTAACACGATGAATATGTTACTTTGTAAAATGAACATGTAAAATTATATAATATACATGTTCTTTTATAAGTTGAGTATGTTTTGATATCGATTAGGTATCAAAAATCAATCTATATATTTATATATATCTGTATATATGTAATTACATTCACTCAGACCAAAAAATTTAATTAACAAAAACTTGTGAAATTACACACTTTTTATCACGTCTGTCCTTTGGGGAAAAAAAAAATCACGTCTGTCATTTTGTATCACAGCTGTCCAAATTTAATTATTATCAGGATGGTGGTTGCTTGTTCAACTCGGTTTTATTAAAGGGACCTTTTTTTTTTAATTTCTTTTGACACAAGCATTTAAAAGGGACTAAATCTGAAATCGATTTTTGAAGTTGGAAAACCCTATCTGTATAGAATTTCGGTTCGCGTGTAACATGCTTGTACGTAACATGTTTCTTAACATGATGAATATGTTTTTTTGTAAAATGAACATGTCAACTTATAAGATGCACATGTTATGTTATAAGATGAATATGTTGCTAAATATGTTAAATTATAAGATGAACATGTTCATTTACATGATGAATATGTTGAGTTTGTATCTGGTGAATAAGTAGATTTTGTACGTAATATGTTTCTTAACACGGTGAATATGTTTCCTTGTAAAATGAACATGTAAAATTATATAATATAGATGTTCTTTTATAAGATGAGTATGTTTTGATATCGATTAGGTATTAAAAATCAATATATATATTTATATATATCTGTATATATGTAATTACATTCACTCAGACAAAAAAATTTAATTAACAAAAAGTTGTGAAATTACACACTTTTTATCACATATTCCTTTGGGAAAAAAAAATCACGTCTGTCATTTTGTATCACAGCTGTCCAAATTTAATTATTATCAGGATGGTGGTTGCGTGTTCACCTCGGTTTTATTAAAGGGACCTTTTTTTTTTTAACTTCTTTTGACACAAGCATTTAAAAGGGACTAAATCTGAAATCGATTTTTGAAGTTGGGAAACCCTATCTGTATAGAATTTCGGTTCGCGTGTAACATGCTTGTACGTAACATGTTTCTTAACATGATGAATATGTTTCTTTATAAAATGAACATGTCAACTTATAAGATGCACATGTTATGTTATAAGATGAATATGTTGTTAAATATGTTAAATTATAAGATGAACATGTTTCTTTCTCAGATGAACATGTTCATTTACACGATGAATATGTTGAGTTCGTACCAGGTGAATAAGTAGATTTTGTACGTAATATGTTTCTTAACACGGTGAATATGTTTCTTTGTAAAATGAACATGTAAAATTATATAATATAGATGTTCTTTTATAAGATGAGTATGTTTTGACATCGATTAGGTACTAAAAATCAATATATATATTTATATATATCTGTATATATGTAATTACATTCACTCAGACAAAAAAATTTAATTAACAAAAAGTTGTGAAATTACACACTTTCTATCACATATGTCCTTTGGGAAAAGAAAATCACGTCTGTCATTTTGTATCACAGCTGTCCAAATTTAATTATTATCAGGATGGTGGTTGCGTGTTCAACTCGGTTTTATTAAAGGGACCTTTTTTTTTTAACTTCTTTTGACATAAGCATTTAAAAGGGACTAAATCTAAAATCGATTTTTGAAGTTGGGAAACCCTATCTATATAGAATTTCGGTTCGCGTGTAACATGCTTGTACGTAACATGTTTCTTAACATGATGAATATGTTTCTTTGTAAAATGAACATCTCAACTTATAAGATGCGCATGTTATGTTATAAGATGAATATGTTGTATTATAAGCTAAATATGTCAAATTATAAGATAAACGTGTTTCTTTCTCAGATGTACATGTTTATTTACACGATGAATATGTTGAGTTTGTACCAGGTGAATAAGTAGATTTTGTACGTAATATGTTTCTTAACACGATGAATATGTTACTTTGTAAAATGAACATGTTAAATTATATTAATATTGATGTTCTTCTATAAGATGAGTATGTTTTGATATCGATTAGGTATCAAAAATCAATCTATATATTTATATATATCTGTATATATGTAATTACATTCACTCAGACCAAAAAAATTAATTAACAAAAAGTTGTGAAATTACACACTTTATCACGTCTGTCCTTTCGAACGAATCTCGAGAACGGTACAAGGCTCGACCCATCTCGCTTAATCCTATACATTATTTTATGTGCTCAATTATGTGAAATGGGTGTTAAACGTGCTTCGTGAACTTAAATTTGTGCCTTAGTTGAGTAATTATATGAATTCTATTTTATATTCCCAAATTGGATATCAGAGTGATTGTCGTCACTTTGAATAATTGTCGAACCGAATATTATGTGGTTCGTTTCGTGGTAATCCTAGAGGTATAGGTACTTGGAGTTGTCCTTGATCTGTTAGTTTTGGTTTGAAGTCGTTTCGAGTTGTATTTTGGGAGTTATGATTTTTCAACACCGAGCATGCTGCTGAAGCGTAATAAATTCACCATAAATTGAATTGTTTTCCGTTTCAGCTGCATTTTTTATATGTTATGCCTCTGAGTATTTACAATATGTGTGCCAAGCCCCTGATTTTATCTTTGAGTTTTTAGGGTTCAAATGCTTAAAACGGATTCCGGTCAGAAACTTGTAAAATTCACTGAACATCGTATACTTGAGGTTTTGAGCTGAAACTTTCAGGAACCTATTATTTTGGGATGTTTTAGGTTGTGTAGAAATTTTAGATTAAAATTCGAAGTGTATCTTGGTGAACTATTAAATGCTGATTTTAGTGCTGTTTTTGCTTAAATCATTTAAAAATGTTCCCGGATGAATTTAGGGCTGAAACTTGGTGAGTTTATGTGTTTTTGCATGTTTTATAATGTCGAAAAGTTTCAGTTTGAATGGCGGAGCCCAACTCCTGATTCTGAATTTTGTTTATTCTGGAGTCTTAATGTTCGGTTATCGGTTGGTTAGGTTCGGATAGGGTTAATTTAATGTCGGCATGTTTTATGTGAAATATATGAGGTATATGAGTTGTGTCCAGGCCTAGTACTCACTCCATAGTACATAACTCGGTCAAGGATTCCACGAGTCGCTTAGTCAATATGACTTCGACTAAGTATATGTGCTTTTTGTGGTATTTAATATTGGATAGTCAGTGAGAGGCTATTATAATTGTTGTAGGTTCTTCAAGCTGAACTTGTGCCATAATTCCTTCAACTCTGTGTTTGGCTATACCTCTTGCTATATCCAGGTGGGTTGTTATTCTAAAATCGTCTATGCAATAAATTGTTTACCTTACTCGTTTATGATCAATGTATGCTTACGAATCATGTAGCCTTCGATGTGAGCTGTACCGGTCGTCGAACGGTTGTCCCATATTTATGAAATGAAAAACCGAGGGGTTACTCCTACTGACTGGGCATCGATAGAAGCCCATGGGGCATTCGATGTGTAAGACCGGAGGGCAGAGACGTAAAGACCATGGGGCGTTCGATAGAAGCCCGTGGGGCATTCGATGCGTCTACTGGCAGTAGTCTATTGATATAGATGTGCACATGAGTATGAACACTGAATTTGTGATGAAAGTTTTGGGGATACTTGATTGATTCGTATACATGCTGTGATCATAATTTCTGATATGTTATGAAAATGTTTATTACATAGTGGTGAGCACTAGTTTTTCCAACTGTGCTCATCCCCACCTGAAATTCACGTTTCAAGTTAAGCGAGGTGGGTACGACAGCAGAGTAGAGCGAGTGGTGGTCGGTCTGTAAGACCGGTCATGTTATTTGTTATGCTTCCGCATTAATGAATTCTGGATTTTATGACCATGAACTTGGAGTATTTTGGGATTCTATGACTTGAATAAAGTTGGAACCCGGTTTGGGTGATTTATGGATTTTTGGATAACCCGTTTGGGAGTTACCATTATTGAATGATGATTGAGTTTGATAATTGATTGAATATTGGAAAGGTGGATAAGTATTGATGTTCGAAAATGAGTAGCACCTTAAATGAATATTTTGAAATAAATTTTGAAAAATTTATTCTGATTTTCGATAAATAAAAGTGGGGCGTTACAGTTTGGTATTAGAGCCAGTCTGCGTTTATGTAGACTGGTATACTTGAATTATGTGAATCTGCGAAAATATGTGATGTAAGTTATGACCACTCACTTCCGTCGTGCCTCGCCAACTCAGGTATGAGATTCCTGATTAAGTTAAATTGATTATGTTGCCTGATTTATGCAATAAAATGATATGATGTGAAATATTGGGATATTATGATATGTAAACCGGGGCTTAGGAATTTATCCTCCTACTTTTAAACGTTTT